GCAATTGTGAATAGTGCTGCTTGTGAACATGATTTTTTGAGAGTCTTCCAGAACATTTTGCTGGGTTCTTCCAGTAGGAATAGCACAGTTCCCCCCTGCCCACCTCCTATTCCTGGACCTCTGATCATGGCCATCAGAGAGGGGACAGAGTGAGGGTCTGATGAGGGAGCCTGTGGAGCCCAGTATGATGAAACAGATGAGCACCCCATGCCCCTCCTGCTTACCAGCTTTCCAGGTGACTCTTGTTTTTGCTAGTTTGGGTGATTAAATATTTCATACACACAGAACATGTATCACAGACACCTCTTTCCCCTCCACACAGACTTAACAGATGTGAACATAGATTTGCTTCAGATTTTTTAAAAAGATGTTATTTATTTATTTATTTGTTTGTTGTTTGTTTGTTTATTTGCTAATTTATTTGAGAGAGAATATGCAAGTTGAGGGGAAGGGCAGAGGGAGAGGGAAAGAATCTCAAGCAGACTCCAAGTTGAACGTGCAGCCCAGCTCAGGGTCTGATCCCACAACCCTGAGATCATGACCTGAGCCAAAACTAAGATTCAATCACTTAACCAACTGTGCCACCCACTTGCCCCACTTCAGATGATTTTTAATAAATAGATTGAGAGACACAGCCAACCTCATCCCTTCTCCCTCCTCCCTCTCTAGATGTGACCACCACCCTAAAATCCCCATGTATTGTTTCATGCCTGTAATTACACTTTCTCACTATATACGTGTCTATGAACTACTCAGAGTGTGTTGTGTTTTAAATATATACATAAAATATACGTAAATATATCAGTTTGCAACTTAACCTTATTACTCCGTAATAACCGCAAAGGATTTATCCATGTTGATTTATCTCCAGAAGAGATTTTGCCCCAGGGATATTTGGCAATATCTGGAGGCAGTTCCGGCTGTCACAACCAGGGTAGGAACATGCCCTTGCTATCTAGTGGGTGGAAGCCAGGGATGCTGCTCTTCATCCCAAGAGCACAGGACAGCCCCTACTGCAGCAGGAAATGATCCAGCCCCATAGGAAAGCAGTGACACATGCGGTTGAGACTGGATGTAGATGCAGTTCACTTTTAAATACTGACTCTGTGTGTGACTCTCCACCCCATCACTGAAAGATATAGACTTTACTTTTCCACTGTGACAATGTGGCAGTGAAATCCTTTCCACATCTCCTTTGCTGGTTTCTTTTGGGTCAGTAGCGAGGAACAGAATTGCTAAGACACAAGCAATGCACAGCCTCAGATTTGTTCAGTATTAGCACATTGCCTCCAAGGTGGTTATGCCGGTAGATCCTCCCAATTCCCAATGTGTGTGTAGAGGAAAGCTTGGGCTTTTTCCCCTCTGGAGGAGGGGCAGATATTTCCACCACCCACCCCTACTTCTCTGTGAGGTTGACCAAGCTAAGAAGGCAGCTCCTTCTACAGAAGGGAGTGAGCTTCATGTTTCTTGGAATGAAAGACCTTACAATGACTCTGTTCCAAATAAGATCAAGTTCTAAAGTTCTGGTAGATGTGAATTCTGGGCAGGGGGACACTGGCCCCCCACATAACTCACTGCAAGTGGGGATATTGATCCTCATATTATGTGTGGTTAAAAGCTCTCAAGGGCAGAGTGAAGGCATATAGTTGCCTGGGACAAAATAGTAACTCCACAAATATGTGAAACAGGGGAGGTTTTGTTATAGTGCGACCCACAGTACCCAACACAACCTCAATGCCTAGGAGGTGTTCGTCCACATTTAGAATGTAAGTTCCATGAGGGCAGGAGTTCATTCACTAACAACTATTTTTTGGTCAGCTACTATGTGTCACAACACCATGCGCTGGGGGTGCAGCTGCAGGTAAGACTGATGAGGTCTCCATACTCACCAAAGGATTAAGATCATATCAATTTGTTAAGTAAATCAACAGTATGTATAGGTATTTATGTCAGTAGCTTCATTCATGGTGCATGTCATGGAGAGGCTAAGTGTTCAGATTTGACAGCTTAGAGACAAAAGGCATCCAATTTCTAGAAACAACGTGACTTTTTAAACAAACAAACAAACAAACAAACAAAGGATGATTTATTTGAGAGAGAGAGAGCATAGAGGGAGGGGAAGAAGCAGACTCCCTGCTGAGCAGAGCCTTCCGCATGGCCAGATCCCAGGACTCCAAGATCATGACCTGAGCTAAAGACAGATACCCAACCACCTGAGTCACCCAGATGCCCCCAAAGTGAAATTTTCAAACAAAAAACAGGGATTCTGGGTGGCTCAGTCAGTTAAGCATCCAACTCTTGATTTCAGCTCGGGGTATGATCTCGGGGGTCATAAGATCAAGTCCTGCATTGGGGGGGGGGTCAATGCTCAGCAGGGAGTCTGCTTGAGAGTCTCTCTCCCTCTCCTCCTTCCCTTCCCCCACCTGAGTTCCACTAGTGCATGCACTCTCTCTAAAATAAATAAATAAACCTAAAAAAAAAAAACCTGAACAGATCATATCTTTTGATTAGTTTTTGATTAATAGATCACATGTAACCTTGTCATCTCACGCCCACACTGAATGGAATTGTCATTAGATTCAAGTGAATTGCTTAAGGAGAGTTATTGTACCAGCCCTGGCCTTGAGAGCTAAGTAGCTGTGCCTGACAACTTAATCCTAAAGGCATTCTCTGGAAAGTGAAACTAGTTAGGGAGGGGAGGAATCTAGATGACACAGTTGTCACACCAGGAGACACCCAGGGCGCAACTTGGGGGTGTGGCCATAGGGAGATATGACCACATTAACATAAAGATAGGGGGTGCCTGGCTGACTCAGTCAATACAATGTATGACTCTTGTTCTCCGGGTCATGAGTTCAAGCCCCAGGGTTCCTACGAACACAGTTTGAAAACCTTTGTCCTTGAGAGCCTATCCTCCTAGCCACAGATAGATGATCTTGGGTTATCAGGGCTGCAGGACATCAGCCAGCTCATTCTTCTATCTCTGTGTGGTGTTCAACATTGCTGCCCATCAAGATCACCAGGAACACTAAAAAGTCCATAAGCTCAGCCATACCCCAGACTGACCAACTGAGATGCTCTGGGATGGAGCTCCAGTATCTGGTTTGTGAAGTCCCCAGGTAATGCTGATATACAGCCAAATTGGAGGCCAGTGCACTGAGCCATCTTCTTGATGGATTGGATTCCTATTTCTCTTTGCTAAGCAAGACCATTCTTTTTTGTATTTTGTTGCCCTGGGTTTATACAAAGACTCAGTTTACTATCATTTATGAGTGTGTATCCTCAGTTACAGAAACTGAAATAAGTCACCTTTTTTCTGTTGTCCTTATTTTATAACAGCTTTATTGAGCCGTAATTCACATACCATCCAATTCACCCACTGAATGCATCCCATTCGGGGCACCTGGGTGGCTCACCTGGTTAAGCATCTGCCTTTGGCTCAGGTCATGATCCCAGGATCCTGGGATCAAGCCCCATATCTGGCCCCCTGCTTAGCAGGGAGTCTGCTTCTCCATCTCCCTCTACCACTCCCCCTGCTTATGCTCTCTTGCTCTCTCATATAAATTAAATATTTTTTAAAAATAAAAACTATAAAGCATCCCATTCATTGGTTTTTAGTATGTTCACAGAATTGTGTACCCATCAACTCCAGAAACAAATCTGTATCCTTTAGCTGTCACCCTCCCATCTCTCCTATTCCCTCCAGCCCTGAGCAATCTCTAATCTACCTTCTCTTAGTGTTAAAAATTAAATAAAATACTGAGACCCATAATAGGATGAAGTCCACAGGGTCATGGGAGCCCAGAGGCAGGAGTGACTGACCTAGCAGAGCAAGGAAGCCTTCCCAGAGGATGTGGCATTTGTGCTTGGCCATTTCTGCTTTTGTGTCTTTGCTCCTTCTATGCCACTAGCTTGTAACAGAAGACAACAAATGTTGGGGAGGATGCAGAGAAGTTGGAACCCTTGTGAACCACTGGTAGGAATGCAAAATGGTACAGCCGCAGTGGAAAACAATATGACAGTTCCTCAAAAAAATTAAACATAAAATTTGATCCATCAATTCTACTTCTGGGTATATCCCCAAAAGAGATGAAAGCCAGAACTCAAACAGACATTGGTACACTTATGTTCTTAGCAGCATTATTCACAATAGCCAAAAGGTGAGGAAAAACTCCAATGTCCATTGATGGCTGAGTGAATAAACAAAATGTGGAATATCCATACAATGGAATATTGTTTAGCCCTAGAAAAGAAGGAATTTGACACCTGCCACAGCATGAGTGAACCTTGACATTATCCTGAGTGAAATAAGCCAGACACAAATGGACAAATACTATGTGATTCCACTCACCTGAGGTCCCTAGAGCAGTCAGATTCACAGAGACAAAGTAGATGGTGGGAGCCAGGGGCTGGGGGAGGGAATAGGGAGTCAGTGTTTAATGGGGACAGAGTTTCAGTGGAGAACAATGAAAAAGTCCTAGAGATGGATGGTGGTGAGGGTCACATGACAATGTGAATGTGCTTAATGCCCACTGAGCTGGGCACTTAAAAATGGTTAAAGTAGCACATTTCATGTATATTTTACCACAATAAAAGAATTTAAAAAGAGGGAGAGACCAAGAGGGCAGGCATGAGCCTGTAGGGATCTTGGCATCAGCCCAAGGCAGGAGAAGCCGCAGGGAAGTGTTCCCATCTGTACATTGCTCTGTGTCCACGCCTCCCTCTCATACAGGGATAACGAGAGTGATCCCTTGGCTGTGATTATCAATGAGGATTTAACGAGTCCTTCATATAAAAGTAAACCCAGTGTCTGAGACCTGGAAGTGCTTGCTAAATGTAAGCTGGCAGTACCGTCATTGTCCCCTCTCTGAGCCTGAGTTCTTCCCCTGAAGTGGGCAAGCTGCAAGGCAGTTGAATTAGGATGGGCTGACCAGAGGGTATGGGACAAAGCAGACCCTTGGCACCCTGGTGACAGTGGGGGATACCCCCATGCCCCCCAGGAGCAGTCGAGCTTTCCCGACGCCATCCCATGGCATCCTGGCTGTGCGCCATGCTGCACTGCTTCGGGAGTTACATCTTGGCTGATCTTCTCCTTGGGGAGCCCCTGATCGACTACTTCAGCAACAATTCCAGCGTCCTGCTGGCCTCAGCTGTCTGGTAAGCACTGTCAGGCTGGTGGGGTGTGGGAGAGCAGAGTTGGGGGCAGGGGTGATCCAGCCACCTGGGAAGTGGGAGGCAGGAGGTTGGAGGAAACAGGACCCATAACACAACCTCCACAGTGGACCTGAATGGCACTGCTGTCCACTGCCCAGCTCTCTCCTGAGCCCGGCAAGTTGGGGAGGGGGATCTGGCCACCATCTCATCTCCCAGGGACCCCCAACAGTCTGTTTCCCCCTGACATTCCATGCTCTCTCCCCAAAGGTACTTGATTTTCTTCTGCCCTCTGGACCTTTTCTACAAGTGTGTCTGCTTCCTGCCTGTGAAACTTATATTCGTGGCCATGAAGGAGGTAGTGAGAGTCCGGAAGATCGCCGTGGGCATCCATCACGCCCATCACCACTACCACCACGGGTGGTTCGTCATGATTGCCACTGGCTGGGTCAAAGGTAAACAGAACCATGATTACAAGGAAAGTCACCTCAGTTGAGAACCCCTGCTCAGTGGTACATATCAGGCCAGACATTACTCCAGGCTCAGAGGACTGTTGTGGGAGTCCAGCCTCATTAGCCAACAGCTTTAAAGTTAGTGGGAAGGTTCTTCCAGAATTTAACTGTCAGAGATAAATAGGACAGCGAGACAATGACACCTGTCTCTCAAGCAGGTTTTCTCAACTGCGACACTACTGATGTTTGGTGTCAGATCATCCTCATGGTAGGTGCTGTCTTGTGCTTTGTAACATATTGAACAGCATCCCTGGCTACCTCCCACCAGATGTCAGTAGCACCCACCTGTGTGACAACCAGAAATGTCTCTACATGTTGCCAAATGCCTCCTGGAGAAGAAACCACACCCCTATAACTACAGCGGTCCTTAACCTTTGTGGGCCATGGTCTGCTTTGAGCCCGGTAAAGCCTTTTATGTTTCTAAGTGCATAAGATAAAATATACAGGATGATAAAAGAGGTCCATTATTTTAAAATAGTTATCAAAAATTTTTTAATAAAAGCTACCAAAAAGTTTTAATATGATACAGTAATTTTATACATCTTTACCAATGCATTAAGTAAGAGACCATTCATTTAGCAAATAGGTATTTCTGAACTTTTGAAGTGTTGTCGAGCACAAATGATATTATGAAACCATCTGCAACAATGGGATTGTGAAAAAGGAAAAAAATCCATGAATTCCATTGGTGTTGGAGTCACAGCCTTGCAAATCCTTATCAGCTTACTGCCTTCCTTCACAATGGAAGGAAAGGCTGTATTTCAGTGAGGCACATGAAAATGAAGAAGTAGTTCTGTTTCCTGTGTGGGTTCGTGGACCCCAAGTTAAGACTTTATGACTCAGGGCAGACTTGAGTTGAGGCCTTTACACAGCTTAATCTCATTTGATCCTTAAGACTTTGCTTCGGGAGAAGTCTAACATCACCCCCTATTTACTGAGGAAGACAATGAAATGACTTCCACATGGTCACACAGCTAAGGAGGTGCAGCTAGGTTTGACTCCAGGTCCTCTAAATTCAGCATCCACATTCCTACTACTTTGAAGTCCTCCTTTTCCTTCTCCTCTAGCTGTGCTAAGAGGCAGACCAAGATAGACTTTAAAACGAAAAATGTTACTAAAAATAAAGAGGAGCACTTTACAGTGATGGGTCAATGTACTGGGAAGATATAACAATTATACACATATAGGCACCTAAAAACAGCACCAAAATATATAAAGCAAAAACTGAAAGAAGTTAAAGGAGAAATAGACAATCCAACAATAATTGTAGAAGTGCAGCAAGAGTAACAGAAAGACAGGGAAAGGAGGCTCAAGCAGGTGCTAATACCACTAGGCACCTCATCCCTGCTCCCTTATACCAAAGTGGGTACTGCCAAAATGCCAGGGCTTAGAAGTACCCTCCACTGAGCCACAGTGTACTCAGCACCATTGACACATGGGGCTGGATCATGCCCTGTGGTGGAGGCAGTCTTTTGCATTGTAGGATGTTGAGCAGCATTCCTGGCCTTAACCCACCAGTAGTAGCCTCGCCCCAGTTGCAACAACCAAAAATGTCTCCAGATATTTCCAAATGCCTCCTTGGGGGCAAAATCATTCCAGATATGAACTATTGGTCCAGTGGTACATACCAGGGACCTCAGTGTGGCCATTCCTGGAGTAGGTGTCCAAGCCTCTTTGACCAGTACATTTGGGGTAAATGGAAAGGTTCTTTTAGAACTTCAGCCATTATGTCCCATATGGGTCTCCTTATTCGCTCTCCAGGAAGCCTGTGCTATAGAACAAATTCCCTAGGGCTATAGCATGCCTCCCAGAGGGCAAATGGCTTGAGAAGGACTGAAAGTTCAGAGCCCTAAGGAGGAGAGAGCATAGGATGGAGAGACTTCCAAAAGCCTCATGCACGGCTCAGGGTCCTGGACTAGGAGGATCAGGGCAGACAACCCTGTTGTTCAAAACATACCTTGCAGATGGGATATGATCTCAATTCCTTCATGCGGGTTTTGTTCCAAGTATGCCATGTAATCCTCCTGAGCCTCAGTTTCCCCACTGCAACTGATTATCATACACCCAGGCTCAGTGTCCCTCTGGAAAAGACTCTAGGAGCAGAGAAGCTGCTTCCTTGGGAACTCAGCCAAGAAGAATGGGGAGCTGGAGGTGGCAGGCTCATTCAGGAGCACTCTGTCTCGTAGGCTCTGGTGTTGCCCTCATGTCCAACTTTGAGCAGCTGCTCCGAGGGGTCTGGAAGCCAGAGACCAATGAGATCCTGCACATGTCCTTGTGAGTATCCTATCCACCCCCCACCCCGCATCCTTCCTGTACGTATAGGTGCCTCCGGGGCCCGACCCTGGGTTGGATGCCCTGGTAACTTAGAAGCCTGATTCTGTCTTCCAGAAGCTTCCAGAGGTCATGGAGCAGAAGGGGAGTCATGGTTCTGCCTAGAGGAAAGGGACAGGCAGAGCAGCAGGGAGTTGATTTGTGTTGATTTGGGTTTTAAAGAGTGAGTAGGAGTTTTCTGGCAAAGCAGGAGCCTCCAGACAGAGTCGAGCACCTCTGCCAATGTCAAGTCAGAAAAGAGCAATGATTCTGCCCAGTTCTGCAGGGTCAGGGTACAGAATATGAGTGGGGATGAGGAGTACAGAGCATGGGATACAGGGCATTGGTGGGGAGTGTGGCTGGGACTATGCGGGCAGGACCTTGTAGCAGCATCCAGAACCCGACCTAGGGCTCCATGCTAAATTTAGCCTATGGAGTTTTTATTTTTATTTATTTTTATTTTTAAAAAGATTTTATTTATTTATTCATGAGAGACACAGAGAGAGAGAGAGGCAGAGACACAGGCAGAGGGAGAAGCAGGCTCCATGCAGGGAGACTGATGTGGGACTCAATCCTGGGTCTCCAGGATCACGCCCTGGGCTGAAGGCGGCACTGAACCACTGAGCCACCCGGGCTGCCCAGCCTATAGATTTTTAAAAACCTAATTGGTTTGGACTAGTTAAATTTTCTCCCAATCTACAATAAATAAAGTGGTAGCCATTAAAATATGACAGAAATTTTTTTAAAGGCTCACCTATATACCAATGAAAATTCCCATTCCTCCCTTCAAAAAAAAGAGCATTATCTCATTTTGTCCCTGCCAAAAATCTACTCCCACCCTCAGTTCACCGACAAGGAAATGGGCCCCCAGAATGTTGTGTTGCCTGCCGCTGAGTAGGCAAGTGGTTTCCTTTCTTGGATTCTATTTCCGCCTCATCAGCTGAGTGTGAGGGCTCCATGGAATCACACTCATAAACTCCCTGGCCCTGGCACCTGGTGAGTGCTTTGGAAATATCCGGAAGAATTATCATCATTAAGGACAGCAGTGAACAACAGACATTGGAAACAGAAGTCACGGGTCTCTCTTTCATAACAAGTTAAAATATTGAAAACCTATCCTGTAAGAAAGAAAGGGAAGGTTAAGAAGAACCATGTGTTGTGACCCCACCTCTGGGGGCACTGTGCTGGTGTCTGGTGTTTTACTGGGGTTTGGTCACACAGACATAGCTGACCGCCTGCATGCCTGACCTGTCTCCAGCCCCTTCAGAGGTCGAGCTGATACCACGTGGCCCAAGACCCCACCTTAAACCACGTCGTTATTAACTGGTATGACCCAAAGTCCCCAAGTAAACAAAGACGCTCCTATCAGGCAAAGCATGTCCAGGGCTTAGCGGATACCTCCCAGGAGCCGGGGGGAAAGCCATATCTCTCTTTGGGCCAAGTTAACCCTTGACCGTGCAAAGAGACACCACCTTATCCCTGGCAAGCAGGCATCGTCCCGCTTCACACTCAGGAGAAGCTGGGGTGGCAATGGGCAGGCGGAGTAGAGGGTCTGGGCCAGAGGGAAAAAGACCTGAGCTACATGGCACCCCGCAATAACAGAGGCTGCCCCCCTCCAGCCCCACAAAGGCCAGCTTGTACGGAGCCATACTCTTCACCCTCCAGCAGACCCGCTGGCTCCCGGTGTCCAAAGCCAGCCTTATCTTCATCTTCACCATGTTCATGGTGTCCTGCAAGGTAAGCCCTCCTGCCCTGACCCACACCAACCCACACCTTCCAGCCTGGGAGCTCAGATTTCCCAGAAAGGGCAACCCTAAGGCACTAGGTCTGTGCATTGGAGGAAGATCTGATAAGAGGAGTGTCCAGCAGGTGGGGACAAGGTAAGGAGAATAAGGCCTTCTGAGCAGGGGAGACCCTTCTGAGGGTCCAGCCTGAGCAAAGGCTAGAGAGTGGGGCAGGGGCGCATAGAGTCTAGACAATCAGGACCTCATGCTTGGGTGATGGAGAGCTGAGGGACCAGACCCTGGAAGGTACGCTCAGGACACCAAGGACCCAGGCTAGACAAGGAATGGTCCTGGTCTGATCCTGAGGCTTTGAGCTGGGGTTAGCTCACCCAGGAGGGGCCTTGGGGGACTGCACAGTCCTCCCCATGGATCTGAGAGGGGACCCATAGGCCAGTGAAAAGGGGAAGGGAGTGAGCAGCCACAGGCCAAGCATTGTTCCTCTCTGAGCCCAAGGGTTGGGGGATCCCTAAGGGGAGGGGGGAGGTCAACTGTCCCCAGGTGCCCAATACTGTCTGGGTTTCAGCACCAGAAGTCCTGCATCCTGGGAAGCCTAGGATAGTTGGTCACCCTCCTGGGGGTGCATAAAGCCAGAGGGATGGGTCTGGGTTACCTCTGACCTTGACGTAGTTGACCTTTTCTCCCCTCTTCCCTCCCCTCCCCTCCTCCCACTTTGCTTTCCGCTTCCATCTCTCTTTGTCTTGCTGTCTCCCTGTCCTTCTGCTACCCCACCTCAGGTGTTCCTGACGGCCACTCACTCCCACAGCTCCCCGTTTGATGTCCTGGAAGGCTATATCTGCCCTGTGCTGTTTGGGACTTCCTGGGGGGGCGACCATCACCATGACAACCATGGCGGGTCCCATGGTGGCGGTGGGCCTGGCTCGCCACACTCAGCCCTGCCTGCTAAGTCCAAAGAGGAGCTGAGTGAGGGCTCCAGGAAGAAGAAGACCAAGAAGGCAGATTAGTGGGTGGCCCAGAGGCCTTGAGGGGTGCCAGGGAGAGAACCCTGACCCAAGCCCCTCAGAGCCGGTGCGGGGGCATCCTGGACTCAGCTCTCCCCTCTCCGGGCCTCTACTTCCCAGTCTGCAAACTGGGGCCATTTGACAGTCCACCCTCCAGGGCTGATGTCGGGGGGGTTAAGTGAGATATGGGGGTGAGGGGCATTTGTAGGAATGGAGGGGTCCCTCTCTCTCTTTCTGCCAGGCCACTATAGCAGCACAGCTTTATTTGAGGGGAGGCCCACAGCATCCGGGCAGTGGCCCAGCCAGAAACCCTAGCAGTTATATTCTTGGTTCTATTATTTCCTCTCTAAAATTACATCTTGACTCTGAAAGAACTTCAAGTCAGGTTGAGACTCATGAATTTGATGGACAATTCCTAAGTGTCTGCTGTGAGGCAGCTGCTGTGACTTCTGTCTCTTCTTACCCACTCCTCCTGGACAACATTGGGCAAGCTGCCCCCTCCGAGCCTTGCATTCCCCTTCTGTATAGTGGAGATGCCCAGCCCTCCTCTGTGTGGAAGTGCTGGTGTGTGCCTGGATGTGAACCAGCCTTATGAACTCTTAAGCACCGTGCAGTCGGGCGGGGAGGCCTTGATGGATGTTCCTCGTGCTTCAGAACGGCTTTGCATTTTAGACTATTTGTGTTTGTGGATCAGAGAACATCCCCCCCCCCCCACAACAAGTTACCTGGCACAGAGGAGGCCTTCAGTAGACACATCTAGGCCAGTCTTGAGAGCTCGGAGGGTGAGGAAGGCTTGTTCTGATCTTTGGCTTCAGGCCACCCCTAAACCAAAGAAATGCAGCTGGCTGGGCAGGGGCCCCAAGATCCAGGTCTGTAAAGGGGTTCTGAGTACTTGTCGGGCCCTAGACACATTGGGCCTCCCCCATGCTAGCGGCCTCCAGGGCTCCTTTAATCACCCAGAGGAGTTGGCTTGCTCTATGGGGGGCCTTGTGCTGCTGCTGGGCCCTGGGAACATGCTTCAGGGTGAGTGAGGGGAATGGTAGCTGAGCGGCACCCCACCACCACCACCCCTCCATCTCAGCCTGTTATCAGGACACCCTTGAGGATGGGTAGATTAGGTGTGGCCAGTCTCCGGCAGTGTTTTGACCCAGACCGGCCGGCTTAGAGCTGTCGTCCGCACAGGGGTGCTCAGGGCAGCAGCCTACAGCTGCAAAAAACATCAGCACGGGGGCAGCAGGGTCCCAGGTATTGCCCAGCTGTTGGGAAAGTGCCTTGATTGGTGACACCTGGGAGCCGGATGGGTCCTGAGGCTCCGAATTCATCCTCTTGCATGTTTATCAAGGCTCAGCATGAAGGTTCAGCAAATAAATCTGTTGTGGAAGAAGCACATTGCCTTGGCTCTTTCATTCTTGCTTTCGGCCTCAGGACACAGTAGGGTTCTGTGTCCTTAGAGATACTCAGAGTTTGCAGGGAGATGAGGCTCATGACAGCCCCCATTCACCAAGAAGGGATGGACCCAGTGGGTAGAATCTGAGTTTGGGGTTCAAATATTCACTGTGCCACCGATAGATCATGAGGCCTCCCCTTCTCCAACCCTATTTGCTTCTTGGGGACCAGGGGATAATGATTATCACTGCCCTTTGTAGATTGATGGGTGAATTAATGGGGCAATCAAGGTTTGCAGTTAAGAGTCCATACAGGGCCCTGTTAAGAGAACAACTTGGCAATCACACATCTGATAAAGGAATTGTATCCAGGGTAACTGGGTGGCTCAGTCAGTAAGCATCTACCTTAGGCTCAGGTCATGATCCCAGGGTCCTGGGATGGAGGCCAGGCTCACTGCTCAGCAGGGAGTCTGTTTCTCCCTCTCTCTGCCCTTGCCCCAGCTCATGATCTCTCTCTCTCTCTCTCAAATAAATAGAATCTTAAAAAAAAAAAAAGGATCGTATCCAGAATACATAAAGAAGTCTCAAAACTCAATAATAAAACAAACAGCCCAAATAAAAATAAACAAATGATTTGAATAGACAATAAAATGGTGCAGTTGCTTTGGAAGACAGTGGCAGTTTCTTTAAAAAAATCAAATGTTCATTTATCATATAAATCATATAACCCAGCTATTCTACTCAGGTACTCGCCCAAGAGCAATGAAAATATGTGTCCCTGCAAAGACATGGACACCCATTTGCATAGATGCTTTGTGATAGCCCCAAACTGGAAACAACAAATGTCCATCAAAAGGTGAGGGAATGAATAATTGCTCCATCCAGCAGAATTGTGCTCACCGATTAGCCAAAGGAGCCAGCAGTGACAACAGGAGTGAGCTTCAATTGCATTACAATTGGGGATCCCTGGGTGGCGCAGCGGTTTGGCGCCTGCCTTTGGCCCAGGGCGCGATCCTGGAGACCCGGAATCGAATCCCACATCGGGCTCCCGGTGCATGGAGCCTGCTTCTCCCTCTGCCTGTGTCTCTGCCTCTCTCTCTCTCTCTGTGACTATCATAAATAAAAAATTGCATTACAATTGAAGGGTGGGGGAGACCGTGTAAAGAGGGATATATACTCCTCCAGCCCCTGTATATAAAATTCTGGAAAAGGCAAATAAATATATGATAATGGGCTGATCAATGGATGCTTGGGCCGGTGGGGGGCGGGGGGTGGCCAAAAAGGCACATGGAAACTGGGTGATGGAAATCTTAACTATCCTGATCGTAGTTAAGGATAACTGATTTCACAGGTCGTATATGCACATCACAACCTATCAAATTATATACTTCAAATGTGCACAGTTTAGGGACGCACGCCTGGCTGGTTCAGTCGGTAGACCACAGGACTGGTAACCTCAGGGTTTTAAGTTCAAGCCCCACGTTGGTTGTGGAGCCTATTTGAAAAAAAAAAGTATGGTTGATTGTATGTCAATTGTATCTCAATAAAAATGTAAAAAAATTTTTCACTTAAGAAAGAAAAAATTCCATGAAAAACTAGGGAAAAGATTTGAACAGGGGCGCCTGGGTGGCTCAGTCAGTTAAGGGTGAGCCTTTGGCTCAGGTCATGAGCCTTTGGCTCAGGTCCTGGGATCCGGCCCTATGTGTCAGGCTCCCTGCTCAGCAAGGAATCTGCTTCTCCTTGTCTGTCCCTCTCCCTGCTTGTGCCCTCTCTCACTATCTCTCTCTCCTCTCTATCTCCCTCAAATAAATAAATAAAATCTATTTTTTAAAAAAAGATTTGAACAGACAGTTCACCAAAGAGAATACATGGATGGCATGTAATCCCATGAAATAAATACATGTGAAAACTATAACAAAATGCCAGGCATATCTGTTAGGGGCTGACTTGTGTCCCCTCAAAATTCACAAGTTGAACTCCCAATCCCCAATACTTCATAAGGTAACCATATTTGGAAGGGGTCTTTAAAGAGGTGATTAAGTGAAAATGAGCTCTTTGGGTGGGCCCTACTGCAGTCTGACTGGGGTCCACATAAGAAGAGGAGATTAGGACACAGACTTGAGCAGAGCAAAGCCAATCTGAGGGCCCAGGGAGAAAATGGTCATCTACAAGCGATGAAGAGGCCTCAGAAGAAAACACTTGTGTCGTCAGTGCCTTCATCTTGGACTCCTAGCTGCCGGAACTGTAAGAAAATAAATTCATAAAAAAAAAAAGAAAAAGAAAAAGAAAGAAAAGAAAAGAAATGTCTTTTTTTTTTTTTTTGAGATTTTATTTACTTATTCATAAGAGACACAGAGAGAGAGTCAGAGACAGGCAGAGGGAGAAGCAGGCTCCATGCAGGGAGCCTGATGCGGGACTTGATCCCTGGATCACTGGGTCACACGCTGAGCCAAAGGCAGATGCTCAATCACTGAGCCACCCAGGCGTCCCCAAGAAAATCAATTTCTACTAAAAAGTTGCTCAGTCTGTCGTTAGGGCCACCATAGCAAGTTAATATGATACTGCCTAGAATGTTTAAAATAAGAATAGAGGGACGCCTGGGTGGCTCAGAGGTTTAACGCCTGCCTTCGGCCCAGGGTGTGACCCTGGAGTCCCAGGGAGTCCCACATCAGGCTCCCTGCAGGGATCCTGCTTCTCCCTCTGCCTGTGTCTCTGCCTCTCTCTGTGTGTCTCTCATGAATAAATAAATAAAATATAAAATAATAAAATAAAATAAATAAGAATAGGTAACAATGCTGGTGCTGGTAAGGACTCAGAGCAACTGGGATGCTCACAGAGTGCTGGTAGAAAACAACTGGGTGGTCTCTCTCAAAATGAAACATTGTTTTCCATATAACCCAGCAATCCCATTTCTGAATGAAACAGAGACTGGTGTTCATGCAAGAAATGTTCAAAGCAGCTGTTTGGGAAAATCACCAAAAAAAATGGAGGCATCCTAAAAGTACAGCAGTTGGTGAGTGGATGAACCTTCATCCCATGGTCTCATCACACTAAGAAATAGTACTCAGCGATGAAAAGGAACGAGCTGCAGATACAGCAACACGGAAGTGTCTCAGAGGCATTTGCCCAGCAAATGCATCCAGACTCAGACTATAGCTGAGTCTCTGAGAGCTGTGTGCTCTCATTAGAGGATATTTTAGGGAGAGCAAAATTATAGGGACAGGAAACAGATCCATGGTTGCCAGGCCTGAGGAGTGAGGGGAGAGACTGCCTCAAAGGGGCCAGCTGAACAGGGTGGGGGGATAGAACGGTGCTGTATTTTGATTATGGTGGGGAATCCACAATGTGTGTCTTTGCCAAAGCCTCCAGATATGTATGCTGAGAATTCCACCTTCATCTAAAAAAGAGAGGAACAGGGCACCTGGGTGGCTCCGTGGTTGAGCATCTGCCTTTGGCTCAGGTCATGATCCCAGGGTCCTAGGATCAAGTCCCATATCAGGCTCCCTGCAGGCTGCCTCTGTGTGTGTCTCTCTCATGAATAAATGGATAAAATCTTAAAAAAAAAAAAAAAAAAAAAAAAAAAAGGAGAGGAAAAACAGAATAGGTTGCAAAGCTTCTCAGACCTGTTCACATCCTGGCTTTTTGTCTGCAAGGTGCCTGGCGTTGGGGGAGTAACTCCCCTTATCTGAGGCTCAATTTCCTCTCAGGATAACTAGCAGGAGTGCCTGGAGCCCAATTCCCAAGACCAGATCTGTAATTCCCCGGAGCACTTCTGTTGAGAGGCGCATCTAGCACCTGGTGGGTGTGGGTGATAAACCGCTCTCCTCCTGAAAGCAGCATGGATGTTCTGGGATCTCATTTTATGAGAGAACAGATTGTACCAAAATAGCCTCCCAGCCTATTTTGGGAAGGAGGTGGGTAGGCCACTGTCTGGCTGGAGGATGATTGGCGGGACAGGCTGACCCTGCCAGCCCCTGTAGGTGTAAGAACTCTGAAGACCAGGCTCTCAAGTCCAGCCTAATTATAGCTGCAGCAGTCATGCTCAGTAGCTTCCTCCGTCTTGGGTTGAAAGAAATGTTCTTTTATCATCATCATCATCATCATTATCATTATTACTATTATTATGGTAAAATGCACAACATAAAATTTTCCATCTTAACCATGTTTCTATGCATGGTTCAGTGGCATTAAATACAGTTGCATTGGGACACCTGGGTGGTTGAGCGTCTGCCTTCGGCTCAGGTTGTGATCCCAGGGTCCTGGGATTGAGCCCCGGGTCGGTTTCCCCACAGGGAGCCTGATTCTCCCTCTGCCTGTTTCTGTTTAGTATAATGTCTCCCAGGTTCATCCATGCTGTAGCCTGGGTCAGGATTTCCTTCCTTTTTAAGGATAAATACTATTCCAGTATAGCTATGCCACATTTTTGCTTATCCACGCATCAATAGACATTTGGGTTGTTTCTACCTGTTGGCTAATATGAAAAATGCTGCTGTAACCACGAGTGTGCAAATATCTCTTGAAGACTCTGCCTTCTATTGAGAGGAAGGTTATTAAATCAGGAAAGATAAGGAAGCAGAGCCTGTGGATCCCAAAGGTCAGAGCTTTGAAATATATGTACGAATATGATACACACATATCTGTATTCAGTCGTCTATGCCCATCATCAGCCATGAGTTTGCCTAGAAACCTCCAATTCCAGCTCAACAATGCAGGGTATATTGTAGTCTTCCCCCGTAGAGAGAAATCTGTGAAGTCTTCTTTTAACTATTAAGTGATGCCTTTCTGCCCTCCCTACCAAAGAAAGGGAAGGAGGAATCAAAATAATATTTACCAAGCAAACTGCACCTTGGCTGTTTGTACCTCTTACAGATCTTAGCTGCAGGAGGCCACAGAGCTGGGGGTATGAGCAGGGTCTCGGGCTCATGTAAGCCCACTAAAAGTGTGACCCGGCGCAGGTGACTTTACATCTTAAAATTCAAGCATCGTCTCTATGTTGGGTCAT